AATTAATGACAGTCAAAGTGATGCATGCACTTATTTAGATACGAAGGGAGTTATGAAATTTCATCAGTAGTCATGATATTCGAAATCCGACTCCCTTCTTCTAAAAATAGTTCAAAACCATATTTATGCATTAAGGTTTTTGTAAAGATATTATCAATAAAGGAGTATTATATGATTGATTGATTGATTAGAGATTGGTATTATCTAATCAATTCGTGTAGAAATGAAATAATGTAGTGTTTTTATGATTCTTCCTATGAGAGAAATGTGGAGCCTTAACTTTTACTATGTAGTGAATAAATAATCGTATTGAATTAATGTGGTAGATATCCGACTTTTGTAATTTTTGACCTTTAGTTTTATCATTTATACTCTTATTCTTCACTCTCTACAAGTTGTATATGTGTGAATAAGACATTTTTTAGCATTTTTTTCCTTTAGGAAACGGGAGCTAGCATAGATTAATCATTACAACAGATAATGCTTTTTATAGCGATCAAAAATGCTTTTTACAGCTGTTTTTGGACCGCTATTAATCGCTCCATTGTAAAAGCCAATATGAGCTTTTTACATCGGTTCATAAAACCGCTATAAAATCTGCTTCTAGGATTCCGTGACAAATCTCATTTACAACATATTAAAACCGCTGTAAATGTTGTGCTGTTAATTCTATTGCCGCCAAATTTCAAAAAAACATTTAATAGCGATAATTTTGAAACCGCTATTAAAGTTAATTTCTAATTTATTTATTTTTTGGAATAACTTTTTACCCGTCAAAACATAGGGTGAAATCTCATAAGGACAATGATTTACCCATAACTGTTCAACACCAAAGGGAATTAATAATCTTTATAAGTTGGACAATAAGATTTCGATTGTTTCAATTTATTTTATCTTAGTTAAAAAAAAAAGATAATTTAAAACAACATAAGTTTTACTGTAATAAATTAAAAACTGTGACACACTCACTACATATCCCCACCTTTTAAAAAATATGATTAACCTCTTATGAATAGTGCTGAGATGATTATGCCCCTAAAAATATTTATTTGCATATTTACCCTTTTTTAAAGTATGACTAAACTTTTATGAATAAGTGCTGAGACAATTATGCACTTTAAATGTGTATTCACATATTTACCGTTAATTAAATATATTTGCTCTATTTTCTTTTTGTTTTAAACTTAATTAATTTTTTTATCTCTACCTTTTAAAAAGGTTGAGTTAACTCTTATAAATATTGTTTGAACAATTATACTTTTTAAATTGTTTAGTTACTTATTCACCCTTATTAATGTTAATTGCTTCTTCTTTTTTTTACTCTAAAGACTGGTGTGCGATCATGTATACTACTAAAAATATTTGTTTATATATTTTCCTTCATTAATGTTACCAACAACTAAATTAAAGTTGTGATATAGAGCCAAACCAAAAGAGCTCTCTGAATATGTCTAGCTATAGCATGCGCGATACACGCGTTAACCGCCCTAGTGATTATATAATTTCATACAAAATCAAAATCAGATGAATTGAAAGAGTACATTTTCCAGATGTCTTAAAGTTCCTTATTATAATTTTAAGCAACTTTTCCCCATGGCATATAATTAAAACTCATCTTAATTAAGTTTCACATGGTATTTGAATTTGCTAGCTACTAAACTAATAACAACATGCTTTTAAACTCGTCAATTTAAGCAGCTGTATGACTGATTATTCATGTTCATGATAACAAATTCTAATGATTAAGCATCTTAAAAAGTGATTTGATGTTATAAAATAGAGATTAATTCCTAGGAAACGTTAACGAAATCATGCCCGAAAAGTAATTACCAAACTATAGGACTGTACGAAAAGTATACAGGTATATAAAATTAAAAACTACTCCGTACTCTTTATAATATAGCTCAGTATCTTGCATTATTTTTGTTGTTCCACTTATATATAAAAACAATTTTTGGCAATTTAATTTATGTTAATTAATTGATGTTAGGAATTATTCCCAATACCTTGATCAATCAGTTATACCAAGAATATATATATATATATATATATGCCAGCAACGGTCCAAATCCATATACAAGTATATTTCTTTACATGATATCATATCATATCATAATTTTTTGCTTAAATATTCTCATATCTCTTTTTTCAGATTCGGGATAACAAATTATGAGCGAGTGATCATACAATGGAATCCACTAATGTATGTTTTGAGGTTGTTAGTTACATTTGATATAGTAATCCATAGCTAGTGCAAATTTTTTGTTGGTGACAATATTACAAGTCATTAGTCATGTTGGAGCAAAGGTTGTAAGGTGTACGTTGTCTTTTTCGTTCTCCTTTTGTTAACTTAGTGTATGTTAACAAAATTTTATAAGTAGGAATAGGATATTATATGATAACAAGAAACAAAGTTAGTTGGCTCACTGAAATAGTTCGTTATTAAGATCACGTTCTATATCTTAACATTGTTGTATAGTATCTTGGTCATGGTACACCATACCAAGGTTTCATCAATAGTTATTTGAGTCATTTTCAGTTTATCACAATCTTCTTGCATTGGAATAATAGATGCATGAAGCGACTACCAAAAAATCTTGCACTACTAGAGGCAATTCTTGATAAATCATTAACATGATCATAATATTTTTGATTGAAAGGATAGGTCTTGAATTTTGCAACTTTAATTTGTAGTCAGAGCTTCCTCTAGAACATCTTCAATCAACCCTCTTTAATTATCACACACACAAAAAAAAAACGGCACTAAACTTACCGCCTTATTCATCACCTTTTTCTCAACCCTTCTAACATGGAAAAATTAATTAAGAAAAACTTTAAGATATCGATAACGAACTATATTTAAAATTTTGTCTTTTCATCAAGGCAAGTAAATGGTTTGATGTTGTCCTTTTCTATTATAGCATATTGTCAACAATTTTGACAAATTAAAAGTTTCTTTGATTATGTATGGTTATTTGAATGAAGAGTATGTATAAATTGACAACTTACTAAATTAAAGTAGTTATTGTGGCAATTTTAGCAACGAAACTTCATATGGGTAATGAAGACGACTATTATATATTATGTGATGCTTATTGGAAATTGATTTGCAACACGAATTGACTAGAGTTTAGGACAAAAAGTATGTGGTGAATTGTAGTGCGACTTGGTGACATTATTTACGGATATTTTAACAAATTTTGGTGATTATTTTCAAGAATCACAATTAAGTTCTCATGCACACTTAATAGAAAATGACACTACTATCGACATCATATGAGCATGATTGATGATTCCACACGATGTATAGTGACACTCTTAGGACGAGTAGTGTTTAGGTCTCTTTCCTCTTATTTTCTTAAGTTTTTCTATCTCATTTCCCCTCCTGTGACTTCTTTATGTGTTGATGAAAAGTATGCTTATTTGCGCTTATTTTGATAATCTTTATGCATTATTTTGTCATCCCCTTGCTCTCATGATTTTTGTTATCTTTTGTAGGTTCCATGGCGGTCCTAATCACGGTGGGAGGCCCCCTTGGCCAAGCTTGGAAGCATGAATAAAGGCAAGAGGAGCAAAGAGAAGGAGAGGAAGCAAGAAGAGGGAGTGCAAGAGGAGGTGTGGCCAAACCTCTAAAAGGTTCGGTCGAACCAAGGTGTGCTCAAACTTTTCAAAAGTTTGACCGAACTTCCAAGGTGCAAATGAGGCAGTTTCAAACCAGTTTTCAACGATTTTGCAGAAGGGGTCGAACCTCAAAAGTTCGACCAAACAAGGAGCAAGGAGGTTTGGTCGAACCTACCCAGATGTCCGACCGAACCTACCCAGAGTTCGGTCAAACCTTTTCCCGATCTCAGCCGACTTTGTACGGACTATTTAAGTCCTTTTTTAGAATGTTTTTGGGGTAGATTAGATTAGCTTAATTTTCTGGTTTTATTAGCCTTAATTTAGAGAGAGAAACACCCTTAGTTTAGCTTTTTAGAGAGGGAAAGTGTGAATTTCTCCATTGTTGAGCTTTGATTTTGAAGAAGAAGCTTAATCAACCTCTTTGTAGACTTTCAACTTCAATCAATGAGCATTTCCTTACTCTTTTCTCTTAATCTTGCGATTTGATTTTGCTTTAGTTTGCATTTGTTTTGTTGATTACTCATTAATCATGCCTTTGCTTGTTGATTTTATGATTAACTTGTTAATTGCCATGGATAGTGAGTAGTTCTTTAGCTAAGGGTGTGATGATGATGTAGTTGGAATTTGTTCATGCTTTGGTTTGGAATTCAAGTTGATTGTGATTAAAGCCTTTATTTGCTTGATGTTCTTCGATCTTCTTGCAAAGTGCACGTTTCTAGTTGATTGAGGGTGAATTTATGCTAGGTGATGCAATAGTTGAGCTAGCTAGATTCATTTATATAGATTGTTACTTGATTGCACCTCCCAATATATGGTTCTAATGTGATAACATAGAGGCTATGTTAGGAGAAGCCAATTGACCCCGATAGGTGGCTAGATTGGACCTTATATCGATATTCAAGCATCTTTAGTTCATGATTAATTTGTTTCCATGCCTATGTGTGTTCAAGTGAAGCCTACATCTACCCATTTCCCTTAGTGTTTTCATTGCATTGTTTCTAATTCATTTCACTCTTAGTTTTAATATCTTAGACAACTTCGTTCCCCCTTTTCGAGATAGCTTAATTGTTGGTTATGATCGTAGTGCTTAGCTTCTCTCTGTGGTTCGACCCCTCTTCTTGCCATATACTTGTATTAGGTTAGTTGAGCGTCATAAATTGTATTTGATTTAGGGATTGACAAATTGACGACGTGTTTCTTCCCTTATCATCTATTATTATAGCATAATTGTTACTACCCCGTTTTTTATTATTTGCAACAAAATAATTTTTTATGTCTCACAAATAATTGTTATAAGTGAACAATATTTACTTTCTTTGTTACAAAATACATATAGCATCTCCTTTTTGACGTTAAGTTTTATAAACATTGATTGAAATTTCATGTAAGTTTTTGTTATTTTTTTTTTTAATTTTTGAAAGAATTTTTTTGATAAATTTGTCTAATTATTTGGTTTCAATGTATAATCATGTGAGGAAAATAATACTTCGTAGTATGCTATTGGAAATCATAATAGTTAAAGTATGCTGCTTTAATTTATAGACCATGCAAAACCAAATGGTGCATTAATTTTTTCTTTTTATTATTATTATTTTTATTTTTTTTCCAATTCGAGGAAAATCGATTAGTGTGTTATTATTCATAATCTTAATAGTTTGTGGTGTTGGTAAAAATTGCAAAATATTAAATATTTGGCTATCAAAGAAAATATAAGAAATTTAGTAATAATCTATAAATAGTTTGCATGACCTTTATAGCTTAGGGTTTTATAAGCCACACATTCATATTGTTACATGATTTTTGGTGTTGAAAAAGCTCCACAAAGGCACAAAAGGAAGTGAGAATTGACTCTTTGAATATCTTCTCAAAATTTCGACAATTAAGGATATGATTACATGTCATTGAGGCATTCTACATGAAAATTTCCTATCAACAACTACACCATTTGTATTTAACCCAAAAAAAAAACCTTGAAAACGATTGGTACAAGATGAATATATTTTTATCAAATTGTATTATTTTAAAACAAAAAGAGAATATTATAAAGAACACAACATTATAAAAACTTACATTTTTTTTTTAATGGAATAGATACCTTGATTTCTGAGAGAAAAAGATACAACACATTAAAATATCTATCAATTCTCATCAAAGATTCAAAGTATATATACACGTTCTCCATTTACAATTAATAATAAACTAAAAAGAGTGCAACAAAATTCACCAAACTACAAAGAATCAACCATTTCTTTTAATTTATACTTTGTTGAATTCCTCTTCTTTAATAAATTGAATTTTCTACTACAAAAAAGAATGCTTCATACAAAAAAGGTAAAATAACTAACAAGCCAAGAATATGCAAAAATCTAAAAAACCAAAAAATTGCTAGAAATAGAAGGTTGCTCTAACCCTTCAACCCAAACACCTCTATTTTTACTTTCTTCATCTAATTTACCACAACTATTTTTACAACTATTATTTACCTCACAATTTTTATTTTTACCCTCACTTACATTTTTAACCACATCTTTTTTAAATATTCCATAAACAATACTCTCAACATCAATTGCTTTATTTCCATCTATACCCTCATCGTCAACCTCTTCTTGATCAGGAATAAAAGGAGGCCTTTCTAACCGTACGATCATCTCCCAATCAACCCCTTTAAAGAAATCATGACCCTTGATTTCCTCCAATGATATTCTTTGTTTTGGATCTTTCTCAAGTAACTTCCTTATCAAATCTCTCAACGGCGTCGTTTCACCAACCAAATCAGGTGACTTTGATATGATTCTGTAAAATGTTTCTTTCCTATTTACACCTCTAAACGGCGTCGTTCCATACAACATTTCATGTAAAACGACACCAAAACTCCACCAATCTACAGCGAAATCGTGACCGTTCCCTTGGATGATCTCCGGTGCCACGTACTCCTCCGTTCCGACGAACGAGTTGGATTTACCCATTGTGTCCGACTCGAACGAGTTTTCTAACTCGTCCTCGGTTTTACCCGAACAAGTTTCTTCTAGTGAAAATCCAGATTTACCGCATTTATAAAATGCGGTAAATCTGGATAACTGCAATTTTTTCTTCTCTAAGTCGGGTGTTTTTACTGATTCCGAACTCGAACCCGAACTCAACCGAGTTTTAGGCGATCTAGGAATGAGTTTGGTTGAAAGATCGAAATCTACCAACATTAGATGACCATTTTCTTGAATCAATATATTCTCCGGCTTCAAATCTCTGTAAACTATCCCTTTTTTGTGCAAATATTCCAATGCCAAAACTATTTCAGCCCCATAAAATCTGCCAAAAGAAAGAAAACGAACAAACATTAATTACAACGATAAACATGCAATTCCATCAATTGTATTCAATGCTTATGGAAAAAAATAACAAACATTAAAAACGCGTGATTTTGTATTGAATTCCGTAATTAGGATACCAGATAAATTATATTTAATGCTTATAGTTAACCACTACGGATACGTAAAGCGAAACCCTAATCAAACTTACCTAATTATATCATCGGAAAACATCTTCTCAACTTGAAGCTTTCTTAGAAAATTAAGACTACCACCAGGGCAATAATCAATGGCATACCCAAAAACATTATCAGTTTCAAGAACCCCTTTAAGTTTAGGCAAAAGGGTGTGATTAAATTCCTTCAAAACTTGTTGTTCAAAAAATACTCTGTTTTGAACTTCAACAACCCCATTACTCTGTTTCTCACTTTTGGATTTAATGGCGGATTTCAACACCACTTTTAACGCCAAATCTTCACCCAAATCATTGATTTTGACATGAAAAACAACCCCTTTTGCTCCTCTTCCAACTGGGCCAAAAACTTTGAGTTGATTTAATTCTAATTTTGGAACAATTGATTGTTCTTTCATCTCTATTTTTCCCCTGAAATTTTGGGTATTTTTGTCACAAAAAAGGGTGTTTAAAGTGTTAGATTTATGACTTGGGGAGGAAGAAATATGGTTTGAAAATGAAGGTGCCAAGAAATGAGGGAAATTGTTGAAGAATGAGGAAGGTAATGATGTTATGGAGTACGTAATGTTATGCCTTGTTTCTAGAAGAAGGTGTGACCTTTTGATATGGAAAAATGATAGAGAAATAAAAAAAAAAAAAAAATGATTTTAATTCAAATCAAAAGGAGAGAAAAATGGGGTTGGTCAATAAATGTAGGAGAGAGAAAATGAGAAATTAGTTTAGTTTGGGAAGCAAGGTGTGTTCATTGTTCCCAAAAACAAGGTTATGGGCCTTGTCACGGGTTTTATGTTCTTTTTGTGTATTTTATAATGAGAGGTTCAAGACTAATTTGAAAAGGAAGTTAGGTGGTTCAAGGTTACAACATGTTTTTTTTTTTTTTTTTTTTTTTTTTTTTTTTTTTTTTTTTTTTGAATAATTACAACATGTTATACTAGTATATAGAATATTCATATTATGTCATTAAAGAATGTACATTTATATATTATGGTCGACCAAATTGTTTGAAATATGAGCGTTTAAAAAACGGCCTGGTTTAAAGCGGGTTAAAGAGAACAGATCTAATCTTCTATACCAGAAATTTAGGGCTTGTTTGACATTTTTTTTTTAGTTTTCTGATTTTTTTAAAACCAAAAACAGGAAACAAGAAAAAGGTATTTCCACTTTTTTGTTGTCAGTTTTCTAAATTATCAGGATTTTAATAAGTTTGACTAATTTTTTATTCATTATATTACATATATCATATGATTTTGAAAATCAAAAAATCAAAAAACAGAAAAGTACAACAATGCCAAACGAACCCTTAATTTTTCAATTTTATTTTGACTCAGGCCAAAATATTTTAAAAATCGCTTTCTAATAGAGGACACTTGTTTAATTTTTAAATTTTCAATTTGACTAAGGCCAAAATCTTTTACAAATTGATTTTTAACGGAGGACACTTGTTTTATTGATTAAAATATTGTACAACACATATATTGTACAACACATCTACAAAATGCTATAAATTTTCCTTTAATATGTTGGAATTCTTCTTTTGTATTACAAGCTCTTTTGTATTAAAAATTTAAAGAAAGGCAGTAAGTAATTGGTTTTCTTTGATATATTTCTCTTTATACGTATTATTATAAATATTTAGAAAATATTCTAAAAGAGATTTATTCTAATTTTGGAACGATAAACCGGTCTAATTCGATTCTGGTCTTATCTTAACTTTGTCATTCTTTAAGGATTTCAAATTCTCAATTTATGATTATAGGAATTCACAAAACTTGTTTCTAATTATGGCATTAGATGTTGCAACTTAATAGCTATTATTCTAGGAATTTATATTCCAATAATTAGATTCATATTTAAGAATATAAAGTATTGGGTGTGTTCTAACTCCACCCATTCAATACATAAAATTCAAAAACTAATATATGGAATGGAATTTTCAAAAACCTATTTGAGATTTATAAAAACTTTTATGAAATGCTTAAAAACTTATACAAAGTATATAAATTTTAAAAGCCAAGATGATCAAAAACTTAAAGAAAAGTTCACTAAATTACATCCATCTCATCATAAGTCTGGATTCACATAATACTTTTCTCACTAACGATTGATCTTGAAAAATATGCATTCAATATCAAAATTATATAGTTTTTACCATAAAATACTTTGACACAAATTCTTGTATATCTAACGCAGATGTTATTAATTAGAGATCAACAAACTTAAACAAATTATTAAGGATTATTGAACATAACCTTTGATTTAAAATTGAGAAATATAATTTTAGATTCTCCGATTCAATTTGGTCAAATACCTTTTAACAATTGGACTTGACAAAATTGTATAAATTATGCCTTAAAACCTTTAGAATGGTTGATTTTCTTCGTTTTGAGAAGATTTTTATATATATTACTTATGCTTTAAAACCTAGAATGACTTATTTTCTTATTCATTGTTTTGAGAAGATTTTTATACATATTACAAACTTTATTATATAAGTCTTCCAAAAATGCATTAAGTAATTAGTTTTCATTTTTAAAATTTTGTCTTTCTAATCATCTTACGGAGTATAAAAAAATCAAAAAATCATGTTAAAAAAATCAAAATTAAAACTATTGAGAGCTTTCTAAAGCCAATTCAAATCGATCAAGTCTGGATTTTGGACGATTTGATCAATTTAGTCCGATCTATGTCTGGTTCTAGCATAAACAATTCAATCCTTAAGCCTTAAATTTTAAAATTTTGAATAGCGGTCTAATCTTGGATAATGAAAAGGCCTAAGATGGCTTAAAGTGTGTACTTGTTGAATTAACAACGAAAATTGAAAACAAATTAAACGAATGACTGGGTATGAGATATCCAAGTTTTTAAAGAAGGTAAGTTATTTCAACCTAAGAGGATGACCAATGTATGACGAAATCTTTGGTTAAGAGAAAGAAAGATTTTAATTGATAAATAAAAATAGGAGGGAGAAGAGTTGGAGAAGAGGGAGATTGATAACAAGGTCATCTTCATCACCAAAGACGGTTGGAAGAAAAACCAAAGCGAGAGATAGAGATAATTTATTACAAGTAGCTAAAAACAAAAGTGATGCATCGAAATTAAAGCTTCCATTTATAGAAAGTGATGCATTTAAAAAAGCAGAGGTGGTATATAGTTTTGGATACCAAGCCAACACAACTTGGTTCATCATATAAGGCCAAACCAACTAACTCACCATGATCAATTTATTTACTCCGTAGTTTTCTAGGTTGTGTATTATTGACATGTTATTCACATATGACTATTACTCTTAGAGAGTATTTTTATTGAAAATTACTTATCTAAAATTATTTTTCAAGAAACTTATTTTATCTAAATTAGTAACTCAAAAACTTATCAAAAACTTATTTCCTCAAATAAGTACTCTCTCCGTCCCTTTATTTTTGCTCCATTGCTATTTTTTGGGACAAACTTAGAAAACTTTGACTACATATTATGGGATCTTATTAGATTCGTCTCTTTATATATTTTATTTTACGTGTATGTATGGAGATAAAGATATATACGTTATAAGACGCGTCTTAAAAACTGTGCAAAATCAAATAGGGCAAAAAAAAAAAATTAGGGATAGAGGAAGTAGAAATCAACCCTAAATTAGGCAACAATATACAAGCACGTACATATTTTTTTGCTGTCAATGTCAAACTATCTCATAATGTTTATAGGATAGAGGACACAGTTTGATGAAAATCATAGGATTAATCCCATCAGTTCTCAATGAATTCAAGTGGATAAGCAGCCAAGAGCAATCAATCCCACAAATTCCTCTCTTTTGCTCCCTCCTCTTCTTCTACCTCTCTCTTCTTCCTCCCACAAAATCAAATTTCAAACTTTCCAAAAACCCAAAAAAAAAAACAATGGATTATGAAGCTCAAAGACGAATTGCTGTACTATGCTCTCATCTATGCCCTTCCCACTTCAATTCACGAAATACCCATATCGTATCTACTTCGAATTGTTCATCTGAGTCAACTACAGCTCAAGTTCAAACTAGGGATTTGGTGAAAAGCCCCAATTCTCAAGATACTTGCATTTTTTGCCAGATTATTCGGGGTAATTCCCCTGCTTTTAAGGTACAATTAACAATACTTACCCAATTTTGAATGTGGGGTGGGCTGAATTTATTATTGTGTGTTGTAATCTGATTGAAATTTGGGGTTTTGTTGTTCAGCATTTATGTTATTGGGGCAGTGATTGTGTTGAAGTTGTTTATTATTAACATGTCTGTATTTTTACTGGAGTTTGTTGTCTAATTGAATATTGCAACAGAAGTCAGAAATGGTACTGAAAAGTTTATGATATGTCGCCGTAATTTATGGTTGCTGTGATTAAAGAGAGTACGTAGAATATAAATTCATTTCCATTACCATTATTTATTACTGCCGTCGAATGGGCAGGTAAGTTTGTTAATTGGGCATGATGTATCATGGAGTATTTGTGTGTGTGTTTAGTGGGGGTGGGGTTGGAAGAAAAAAGTGGGGAACTAGCACAATTGAAACTAAGTACTATAAAGGACTTTGATTGCATAAAGTAGTCAGGATGATCCTCAATATGCACATGTTATCTATTACTCCGTATTATGAAAGGGTTCTTGCTTGATTTGATTAGCTTATTGATTAGTGTAAAATTAAAGTAGACCAACAAGGGTTTATCATTACTAATAGTCTGATACAATGGCAGAGAGGTTTTGGGAATTAATATGGGCCATGGGGATAATCCGATGTTTGGATGCGCGAGGTTGGGGAGGGAGAGGAGATTGTATTTGTAATCATCCTAGGGTGTGTTTCATCACTTAAATTTTGACTTATATCATATTGGAACTTCTCAGATTTTTCATTTTTTTGGGATATTCTACATGTTGACCTCATGTTTTTGCAAATTCCACTTGCTGCTTTTTTTTTTTTGGTTGCCATTTTTTCAAGTCACTCTCTACTTTTGCACAATTCTACCTAGTGGCCATATTGTCACTAAGACAGCTAACTTAAGATTAAAAAGGTAATTTACCCCTAAACTTATTGCTTCCTTAAACTCTCCAACCATCAACCACCACCATCCACACAATTACTACCCTGCCCACCAGTGGAGGTTTTCATAGGTTAGGTGACGGATTTTGGTGGGTGAGTGGTGGTTTTTGGTGGATGGGTGGTGATTTTGAGTGTTGGGCAATGATTTTTGTATGTTTTTTTGTTAGTGGGTTGCTAATTAGTTTTAGAGGTTGAGTTGTGGTTTTTGGTTAGCAGGTGGTTGTCTTAGAGTTTATTCGTTGGTTTTAGATTGGTTATTGGTGGTTTCTATGGATGGCCAGTGGTTTTTGAAGGTTGAGTGATGGTTCTTGGTGGGTGGGTGGTTGTTTTATAAATTGGGTGGTTGATTTCAATGTTTGGTTGGTAGTTGTTGTTTCGATAGGTGGCAAGTGATTTCTGTTATGTTGGGTGATGGTGTTGGGCTGGTTAGGTGGCTATGGGTGGTTGAGTTGGGTTGGACAAGGGCTGTGGGTGGGGTTAGGTTGGTGTACGGTCATGGGGAGAGGAGGTTGGTTGAATTAGAAGGGTACGCTAGTAAGTTTGATTATCAAAGCTAAGGGTTAGCCATAAAACACCAAGGGTTAGCCATAAGGCCATAAAGCATAAGTAAGGGCAGACTAATTAATTATGCAAAAGTAGGTGGTCACTTGAGGAATCCACAAAATTTTACCACCCAATGAAATTTGCAAAAACAAGTGGCCACCATGTAGAATTACCTTTATTTGTTTTAAGAACGTACTATTACGAGTAGAACTTAATTCCCCTTAACTTTGTTATTTTTATGGTGAAAAAAATAGTGTTTTAATGCTGACCTTATACAAGCTGTTCTTTGGTGAAATTTCCATCCTTCTTGTGGAAGACTCACTGTGGTTGACTGGCGATTTTTGGTGAATAATGATTGTTTTTAAACTTGTGATCTTCATTTGTATGGCCACTTAGCCAGCTCACAGTTGTTTTAATGTTTTCTCTCATAGCTTTACGAAGATGACACATGCATTTGCATTTTGGATACAAGTCCACTCAGTCGTGGGTAAGGTACCATCCATTTATCGTACTTTTAAGTCCGGTAAAGTTGTCCTTAAAGTGTAATTTTGTCATCATGCTGTCGTACTTACTCTTTTTTCATGCTTTGACTTACAGGCACTCTCTTCTCATTCCAAAACGTCATTTTTGTTCCTTGGATACAACTCATCCTTCAGTAAGTAACCGTAAATATTTGTACTCAATTCAGTTTCTATGGCCATATATTGTTGCCTTGGTGCTCAAATCTGGACAAAATTCTGCTGCATGATATTGGGTGTGTCTATTGTATGATACTATGATCCTATTTCCTTCGTTCTCTTTTAATTGCAACGTGGAGGGGATGCACGGTATTTTAGGAGAGAAGAGAGATAAAAAGAAAGACCCATGTGATGAGGAGAGAGATAAAAAACATCATTGATTCATTGGCCAAATAAAGTAATGTTGCAATCAATTTGCAACCTCCTGAAATGGTATATGTTGTGATTAAAAGAGAACGATGGAAGTATATTATATTATTTAATTTTTTTCGTCAAAAAAAAAATTCTTTATATTATTTGATTTTTTTCGTCAAAAAAAATTCTGTGAATGTGCACCATCTAAATGTCCTGAATTGTCTTTTTTTATTTATTATATTACTTGGACCTTTTTAAGTTATCATTTTTTTTTGTCATGCCACCCCCTGCATAGCCTTTTCCTGTTCACGAGGGATGTGGAGAAGATCTTTCTGCTAGCATCTGTTTAAGAATTACACAGCCATAGAGCCTATTGGATCTAGTAGCTAGTCTAATTCCATTAGGTTGATGTTATTTGAGAATAGGTAAATTTTTTGTTGAAATGATCAGTTGGTTTTGTGATGCTAGTTTGTCGGTGCCTTGGTTGACGAATTTTATATGTTTGTAATTTCTGTACCACTGTTTTCAGTATTGTCATGGCTAATTCATTGTAATCCAACAGTAATAAGTGGCTTTTTCAATCATTTTAAAAATTTGAATTGTGTGGTCATTTCCTATTCTGCTCGAGTTGTGCTCCTTAAAAAAAATTTTGGCTGGTTCTTATCAATCTGATTGAAAGCTAGTGCTATCTTACATGATATGCATTCCTTGAACTATAGTTTTTGATAGAAGCTTGTGATTTTCCATTTTTTTTAATGCTGTAGTTGGACCGAGGCTGCATTTGGTTATTCACATAATCTATTTAATGTCTTTCTAATGTGTAACCTGTTATAGCTAAGGGTTTAGTAAGATCCTTGATTGCAATGTTATATAACTGCAAACTTAATTGTTATGTGCTAACTGCTACCCTCCTCCCTTGAACCTTTATCAAGTCAATATATAATTGATAGAATATGTGTCTGGTCAGGAACTGCTTCAATGAGCTACTGCGCACTGTGATCTTTTGAGTAAGTGATCTCGTGTATTGATAAAATCAGTGAAGTAACCCATGCAACTGAATTATAATCTTAAAACATTTATGCACAAAGATATATTTGGTAAAACTGATACTCTTCAGACTTGTTTTTTCTTGTTCTAGTGAACTTCCTACCTGATATAAGTTATAATGTCAATATTGCTTGCCCCTTCACCTATATCTTATGCTAGGAATATTGATGAACTAAGGTGTTGCATGATATGAGATCCAAGCATTTCTCCTTGGATTTATTTTCGTGACTGTTCTTTTTTTTTTTCCACCTTAGACTTATGGATTATGATTGATTGAGAATTGAAGCTATGATTTTTTTGTAAAATTTGTCAAATAGTATCTTTTAAATGGGTTGAGCAATACCTTTTACAATTTTTTGGGCTGGAGAACTACTGTACCTTTTATGAAAGTTATGGTTGTATGATAATATCTTTTGGCTGTTTTGTGGTGAGAAAAGTCAGCAAACCTAAGTTCCCTGTCATATGATTTGTCCTTGCCTTATCTTGCCCATCCTTCTCCTTTTTAAACTCGCATTACTTTATTTATATCCCAAATATGATCTGCCGTTATTGACTTCTTTGTTCTCTATCTATCATTCCTTACAAATTCTTTCCTCCATTATTCGTCTGTCTCTCTTTCTACTTCTCTTTTACTGCTTGGAACATGTAATTGCAAATTTGCAATATATATAAAATGCAACCAAGAATAAGGTGCTGCATAGTGCATACAGTATCAGACAAAATACAAGATGAGATAAATATTTTCCACATCACAATATTTTCAAGCCCCAATAGGCTATCATTTTCCAAGCATCAAAAATTGCTACAATTGGCCCACAGTGACATTTGATGTGAAGCAAAGGGGCCGGTGATGAACTTAATCCTAATGTTCCACCTTTCACCTGCATAAGGCTAGGAGGCTCTCAAATTATTAGAAACTAGATCATGCCATCAGATAACCCCTAATTTGGTTTTAATGCAATGAAAATAGCCCTACAAACCAAAAAATTAATCCTTCGATGCCCTGCATTCTATAATCCCTAATTTCAATGCAAGCCCTAATTTTAGTGTAGCTATGCTGGAATATGAACACCCTTTTGTTGCATATTTATTCCTATTGAAACCCTAATATCAATGAGATGTTCAGAAGAAAAAAGATACTTTTGTATGTACAGGATTGCATTGCCTTGTTGACGGTGCCTCAAATTGTTGCAGTTGTAGAATATAATAGGGTGAGGATGGATGAGAAGAGGTGGAAATGAAATATGAGACAAGGGAGAGGAAGTAGTTCAGTGTTATGGTCCATTGTAAGGTATGGGACTTGAGTCCCACATCGGTCATATGGGGGGCTGAATGGCTGATGTGGGGTTTATATAGGACAATGGGCTCTCCTCCTCTTGAGCTAGCTTTTGGGGATGGCTCTCCTATTGTCCTGTATCATTCAGTGGGCTGAGGGAAAAGAAGGATTTCAGTTGATTGGGCCAAAAAAGAGAGATAAGACATCTGTGCTCAAACATGTGATAGTACTTGTTTGTCGACTTTAATTACTAGAATATGGCTAAAGGTGTAATTATGCCACCGAAACTATTATAGAAGATTGTTCTTCACAAACAATAAATATAAAAGTTAGTTTCTCACAAGGATTTTTTCAAAAGGTGCTATGTATCAAATTTTCATTCTATTTTCTGTGTTTTATTAGCTGAAAATTCTAAGAGTTTGTCACTAATGGAGAATATTAGCTGAAACCCATTCTACAAATTGCTCTCTTTCTCAACATCTGAGTTGATTGTGCTGCAGGTTATAGCTGCCATGTGTTCAAAAATACCCTTCATTAGCAATGCAATTAAGAAAGCTACAGGCTGCGGTAAGTCCTCAGGGCTCTTTCCTGATCTTTTATAGCCGTTGTGCCAGCTTTGATAATTCATTTTGACCTCCCTCACCGTCCCTCTTATTTTTTTTCGCCAGCATGTTAGCTCAGTATGTTCTTTGGCTAGAGGGTTAAATTAAGTTTTTGACATCAATTTATGATCATAAGACTCAAATTGAGGTTCTTTTAAAAGTTTAATTTATCTTAATGGAGAATGGTTTATTTTATCTAAATAAAAAATTAAAGAACACTCGTATTTGTTTAAATAGATGAAGCCACTTGTTTCATGATTGACCATATTTGGGCTCATACTCACTACCTCTAGCTTCGCTGAGCTGATTTTTCTCTAAGTGTAAGAGCAATAATGCCCTTGTATTCAATAATGGGAGTCCCTGCTACCAATAAAGGCTCTCACTACAGGATCTGGAGACGGGGCGCGTCATTCTCCTTCTCTAATGAGCATTTGCTTATAGGGGGAGTCTTATGCAATTAAACAATATGTAGGCTATCATTGATTGGCTTAACGTCTGATTCTGGATGAAATGCAAATTTTATTGTCATAAATGCTAAGGGTTGTTTTATGCAAAAACGCCCTTCAGGGAAGAAAAAGGCTGTAACCTAGGATGTGAAGGATTCCTTGAAAAGATTGGCTTAACGTCTTGGACTTAGTTCTTTCGCACATGTAACTCTATCATGGACATGACTAATTCTTTGCACGTGTAACCTTACTGCTGATTGAATCGAGCTTATTGGCCTGGCCAATGTCAACACTTTAAACCTCCTCCCTTCTCTTTAGGTAGTTTGCAAGAGCCATTTCATCCTTTTCTATTCTGTTCCAGGAAGTTTTGTGGCTGTATGTCCCCAAAAATATTGAATTCATTACTCACAACAGACTGATTTTGGGATTGTTAGACCTTCCCTACTTAGGTGACATTACTTGAAGCCTTGGTTTACTGTAATAGACCAGATTTCCCACTCCAGGATTAACACAAAGAACAGTAATTTAAGGCTTAAAGCTTGAGTAATTAATTGCTAATGATTTTAGAATACAAACTAAGAAGGATAACTATAGCTTTAGGCTATAAATCTCAAGGTAGCTTGAGGCTACTACTCTCATGAAGAACTCACTGAACTCACTTAATTTCTGCATAATCTAACTACTAAGTTTACTACCCTACTTATACTCAAGAAATCTAAGACTAAAGATAGCTAACATGGCAAAACATTAAATAGACATTGTTGAAGCTTCTTGCTTGCTTTCCCTAACTTCTTCTTAATTGATTTTGTCACCTTGCTCTTGACTCATGTTTCAACCCTTTCCTGCTACTACTGTTCCCTTTTCTTCGATTGGCGCTTCTTGACCGTTGACTTTGTCGTGATCCATCACATTTACCTGGTTGTTTTATGCTTCCTAGAACGAGGAGCTCATTGTTCATTCTATTCTCACAACTCACAAGTATTACATGCTGGCTGCAAGAGGAGTTTTCTTTAATCTAGCGATACCGACATCATCTTTTAATATGCTACAGCGTAACTGAATGCTTTGTAGTTGCTCATAATGATCAAGTTCATCTTGTGCAGTGACAATGATATTGGTAACGTTGTATATTCTCATACATGCTGATCGGACTTGCTTGACCACTCTTCTTTGTAAACATCCCTTGATCCTTAGACGGTTTGTCTTTTATGGTATCTGGAAAGTTGGATTCTTGTGAAGCTCACTTGTCTGTATGGTATACATTCATTTTGATGTAAAGTATATTGCCATTTCAAAAAGCAGAGTTCACACTTCCAAAGATGAAATGCTTGCATGTTGTCCTCATAAGAGCATTTGTGCCCTTCTGCATTCAGTTACCTAGAATCTTTCCTTTAATCAATTTGGGGAGTATTGTGATTCTGATGCCATATGTATGACTAAATCTGCTAACAATGCTATTCTTTTCAAAGGAAAGCTAACGTCAAGCTATCATTTTGGAATTTGACACAATCAAATCTGAATCTTGCAGATTCCTTCAATTTAGTAGTCAACAACGGTGCTGCTGCTGGCCAAGTCATATTCCATGTGAGTAAAATACTGTTATCCTCTATCTTATTAGATATCCCTCCAAAGTTATAAACCTCTGTCTTTCAAATTTGATTGCTTTATTCCATAAAATGTTTTTTTTGTTCTTTTTTTTTTATTTTTTATTTTTTAACTAAGGATGTTATAGTTTGCTCTACTTAGCTATTACTTATCAGTATTACTGATCATATACCTTAAATTCCCTGCAATTCTTTGTGGCATCTTTAGACACACATCCATATAATTCCACGAAAGGCACATGATCGCTTGTGGGATTCAGAGGTATTCCTTCTCCTTATGTAATAGCTTCATGCTTCCAACCATTTAGGAATAAAAACTGATAATTGTGTAATTATTGTAGAGTCTGAGGCGACTATCTGTGAAATTGGATGAGGAAGCACCTCATCTTGTGGAAAGCATACGAGAACATCTTTTGCTTGCAAAAAACGAGGAGGAATGCAAGGATCAAGGATCAGCTTTGGCTGGGAATTGTAGAGGATGACACTGTTAAATGTAATCTTTGTACACTAATGAATGCTTATTCTTTTAGTTTGGTTTTCACGAAAGCGTGCCGAAATATGCAACAATGTATAAAAGAAAAAAAAAAAAAAGTACTCTTTGTGATCAATCAATTTGATGGATATAACACACATTGAATATATAAATACTACTTGTATCATTTTATACCCATGTATTTTTTGGACTATTTGATTGACTTGTTCAAAATTCTACACTAAGTCTATCAGTTTGAGTCCTCAATTGACAGATTCATATCAATACAGTTTCAGCTCACTCTGAAGCAATTTCAGAAGGATTAGACCATAGTTATTCTGGGAATCCCCTTTTTTCTGGGAAACAATAACTCAAAATCTAGACGTTGGATTATGAATTTATGTTAGTATGGAGTAGTTTTGATAGCTCAATTTGGATTATTATGGAGGTCAAACAGAAGATTATTCAAGCAATCTTATTGGGAAGTAGGAACTTGGAAATGCGAAGTAATAAATCTTCTAAGCACTTACTCCAAAACTTTGGATCCAACTCTTTACTGATATACGGAGTACTGTACTACCATTGAGATCTTAGCCTGCTAATCAAAATCAGGCATTTATAGATCCAACTCTTTACTGTAATAGTTTATCTCCTAACTTTTACCATTGACTCAACTTTGGATCCAACTTTTTACTGTAATACTACTAGTGAGATTAAACTTTCTAAATTCATTACCATTACCACATTTATTACCGCCTACCAAATGAGTCGTAAAAGTTATGTAGTCAATTTCTTTTTGCACTTTATCATTGTATATGCATTTAGGAACTATGATTATCGAAGGGATAACAAAACATAGTGTGTAGTTTCCACAAGGATTGTGGCATGACTATCAATGGTGGTGGATTAATGGGTAGGGATTTAGGGATTAAGACTCAAAAGGGAATTGGTAATTAGTCAACCAACTAAAACACTCAATATAAAGAAGACGAAGATTTCCTTAAGTTGTAAATTTTTGTTACCATTCCATGAGACCATGACCATGTACTCATTCCTCCTTAAAACTAAGAACCGAAAGAACAACACACGTACGTAACACTCTAAAACTTCCCCCTTTATATTCATTTCTTCAACTTAAGACCTTGTCTTCTTCAAACTGTTTATTATTCATTACCCCAAATAACCATTTTTCTGGGTCAAAACATTCTCAAATCTTCCATCTTCAAATTCTCCAGAATCTTCCGTTAATTTTACACTAGGAGAGAGAAACAAGAAATGTCTCCAATGGCAGCCATCTCTTCAGTGGCGAAACAAGCGGAGCAACTTCGACAAGACGGCAATAACTGCTTTAAGAAATCAAGGTTTGGAGCTGCCATTGATGCTTATACTGAGGTATTAATTCATTTCTGTAAAAAAAATCCCTAATTTTTGTTTTTAATCGTAGAAATTTGTGGATAATTTATGATTTACGTAACAATTTATCATCCAATTGAGAAATAGAAAGCGAATTTTTTGTTATAGGCGCATTTTGATTGGTGAATTTCGTGTGATTTTTATAGGCAATTACGTTGTGCCCTAATATTCGGGTTTATTGGACGAATCGTGCACTATGTCATATGAAGAAGAAGTATGTATCTTTATATTTGATCGTCGATTTTCCTTTTTAATATGTTTTGATTGAATTTTTTGTTTGTTTGTTTGTTTACTGTGTAGTAATTGGGATAGAGTTATGGAAGATTGTCGAAAAGCAGTACAACTTGACAATAGTTCGGTCAAGGTGTGTGGTAACTCTTTGAATCTTTTGTTGCTGTAATCTTTCATGGTTGTTTGGCAGTTTTAGGTAGTTTGTCTCGGTTTTTTTGTGTTGCACAACTATGGCGTCTCTCTTATAATATGTGCCCTTAATTTGATGTCTTACATTGGTATTGATTGACATTGCACTAGGAAAGAAGTTAGAGTAAATGTCGTTTCATTTGGGAATGTTAGATTGAGTTCCTTGGTAGGATTTGTGAGTACAAATAGACTTTGGTAGCTTTGATGATGTTCTGAGGTGTTGCAAAAGAAATCAGATGAACTCTTCCAGGATATGGAGACAGAAGTTTACTATACTAGAGAAGCTTAGGAATGTATAAGGACATAATATGCATTCTTGTGTGTTTTATATTGTTTATTGTTGAGTGTTTATTTGCTAAGCGTGTGACCATTTCAAAGAGTTCGCCTTTGGCTGTCCCTGTGATAAGTTTGTGGCCAAGTGGCCATTTTGAAGACTTTTGTTATTGTAGGAATTAGGTGACAATACCCCTTTTGTGTTATAAACAAAGCAACAAGAGATGGGATTTATACATAGTTACAGATTGATCCCTAGATTCGTATTTTGAATGGACAGTTTGGTTTAGAAAGCATTGCCCAAAAGGTTCGATCTAATACTCACAACTTGAGAGAAGTGACAAAAAAGAAAAAAAAAGATTTTATTTTTTATTTTTTAAAAGAATAGACTTCTCACCTACAATGTCACACACTCAAGATAACCGACCAACAACCCAATCTAATGAACTCAAATAATCACAACAACTAAAAATAGCAACAAATGCATTATAAAGACTACAATTACAAGAAGATTAAATTGCAAAGACCACACATAAATTATATGTGGAAAACCCCTTTGATGTGGAGAGTGACAATTTGAGGAGTCTACCGTATACATCTCTTATTGATAATTGAGTGTAAAATTAATTTAATGCAGTCTACAAAAGGTTTACAAACCCACCAACAAACACCAACAATAAAGAATGAGCAAAGTAGTAGAAGAGCAAAAGTGAAGAAATCACCAAAACGTAAGCTTCTGTCCAACAACAATTCTGGATGAACCAGAGCTCCAAACAGTAATTCCAATAGCAAGTTTGTGACTTTCCACTAGACAAGACACTACTTTATGAATGGGCATGTGTGGAGGGAGATTCAGTACTTGAATGCTTTTGAATGTCTTTATTTTGAGAGAGGGGGGGGGGGGGGAGATGTGCTCTACTTCTCCATTCAATATCTGAAGTAGTGCTTTTGAGTTAGGGTCTTACCTATATGTAGAAACTAGAAAGGATTATCGTCCTAAATAGATTTCACACTTGCTTTGGCACATATTGCAGAGATGGAGAGAGTGAAACTTTACTTGATAAGGTAAGTGTTACTTTGTATGTTTTATGGGACATCCATAGTGTAAATTTCTTTTTTAGGGACGGGTAGTTTCAATTATCAGCAAACGAAAGGTGTTACTAACAATAGCTCTTTAGTGATCAATTTCTTTGTGTCCTTGAATCGTAACCATTGTTTGAACCAAAAAAAATAAATTCCCTCCTCATTTGCGATTTGCGAAACAGCCGTTAATCAATAATAACAGTAAAAGTTTCAAGTTCCGTACATCAAAAGACTTTTTGCACTTGATACGTGGCCTTATACTGAAGTCAGGGTTTGGTCAGCACCTTGTTTGAGTATTGCCTATTGGACTTTGGTGTTTTGCAAATTCTTCTATGCACATATTGTGCAGGATTGACTGTTAGGCAGTAGAAAACTACTCAGTGGATATGTGGTAGTACATTTATGATAACACAAGATCATGGAGTCAACAGATTCACCAATGAGGGGTTTGCAACTTTTTTCTTGGGTTAGGAGAGAAGAAAAAGAAGACTTACATTGTGGCATTCTATTCTGTTGCTATTATTTCTGGTTATAGTTTGATATGAGAAACAATCTTTACATAAATGTGTAAACAAAGGTATGAATACCAGGTTTTCTTACTAAGTAAATATCTCCCTTGGGTTTAGAAAACTGAGGGTGCCACTAGCACATTAAAGTTACATATAAATTCTTGAGCCTTTGTGGATGTCCACAAGCTGGAAGCAAACAGGAGAGTCTGGTTTCAGCCCCCCTTCCCTCCCCCCTCCCACCCCCCCCCCCCCCCCCCCTCCTAATATTAAGGAGGTCCTGGTGAGTGCTTGATTGGATATGTTACAGTCTGTAGATTTCATTGTTTTCTCTGCCTAGAGTTTTGTTGCCCTCAGAATTGTCAGGTAGACTTTGTTCTGCTAGTTCTTTCAAAATCACTTGAAGGATTAGCTGAAGATGGAGAGTTGGTCAGAGGCTTCACTCATTTGGAAGGGACACATTCCACAATGCTGGAGATTGCTATTTGCTGAATTCATGTCATGGGTTACTCTGCCTTACAGCTTATTTGCTTCAGCATTTTGGTACTTGGGATGAGTGCAACAAGGTTGGGTTAAGTACGTATCAGCTTACCTGCCTTGTGGTCCAAGCCAACAAATCTTGGGTGCCCCCAAAGAGTCCTGTCATGATCAGCTCTCTATCTCCCGAGGTAAAGTAATTAAGGTGTTTCTTCCACATACCCAAACTAGGATTTAGGGAAAAACCAAGATACAAAAGAATAGACAAGACGATTATTTCTCATGTTGAAATGACCAGTAGAAGTGGTCTGCTGTCCATGAAGGATTGGTGGCTAACTTTTCCAGACATCGTTTTTGGTGGAATTACAATCTTTTTGGTTGCATCACTGCATGAAGCCTCGTTTTCTTTCCTATCCTATGACTCACTAAGGGATGGTGCTCAACTCTATTGCCTTTTTTTTTTTTTGGAATCCATTTGCTATGCGCCGCTGTCAATGGTGTTGCGTATTTATAATTTAGAACAGTTTATTTGTAATATTCTAATGCCTTTATCTTTTTGGGGTAAGGTAGTAATGGGTGTATTTTTTGTTGTTTTATGGCTTATAATATATACCATTTATAACTGACAAGAGAATCTTAAAGCTGAAAAAACATCAACTAAAGAATCAGAAATGTTAATTGTACTTGATTCTTTGTGGGTAGGTTCTCACGTACCCATTCCAGTGTTACATACCTATTCGAATAGTGATCTATGTAATATTGATTTAGGTATTAAAATTGCTTCCTTAAAAGGTCAACTTACCATTAATAAGTAGAACTATTCTGTCTAATTATAATTTGACTGCTTAGTGCTTACCAACGGAAGGAAAAAAATTACTCTGTAAAAAATAAAATAAAAAATGGTTTTTTGAAAAACTACAACCTTAAGTCACTGATAATCTGAATGTCTCATACGGAGTACTACCTATCTACTTGTAGTTCAGTGATTCTATTATTCCGTGTTCATCACATGCGTTATTTCCATCAACTGTATTAGTAAACA